TGTTGTCAGCTCCACAACAACAACTATTAATACTACTGCAGTGGCTACCTCGGAGAGGTTTACAAATATTTAATAAAAAGCCTAAGTGAGGGAAATGGAAAGAAACAATATATGTGCAGTAAAAGTTATTAAAAAGGGAATACTTCTGCAGCTGAACTGTGGACTGTAAACTGCTTCTCTACATCTATTAACACTTGGGCCTATCATAAAGCAAATAACTTATGTAATAATAATAATAATAATAATAATGATGATGATACTAATAATACTGTATAATACTGTAATGTTAAAGTGATAGGTTGATTACAGCTACAAGAAGCAGCTCGTTAGCCTTAGCTTAGCATAAAGAAAGGAGGGTGTTGTCACATTTTGGATTTAGTACGGGTGAAACAAACAAGAGAAAACATGTTAATTGTGATCTTTAGACATGCTGTCAGGCCAGTCTGTTATACTTTTCAACAGAGGCTAGCTGTTTCTCTGTGTTCCCCGTCTTTATGCTAAGCTAAGCTAACCATCTGCATCTTGCAGCCTCAGATTTACTGACAGACATGCAAGTGGTTTGCCATGAGGTTCAGAACCAGTGTCGCCAACTCTTTTTCAATGAAGGTAGCTAGCACTAGTCCAAAAGTTGCTAAAAGTACCAAGATGACATCACATGCTAAACTGCATGTTAGTGGCATCATCACACATTAATGGAATCTGTACAACTTTATTGAATTAGATCTAACACAAAAATCCTCAAAGAATATTTGAGTGTCATGAGAGCTATGATGTTTATATTAAAGTGCATCACATTCTCATACCAATCCAAAGAGCAAGTGTCAACGTAACCATAGAAACTCACAACAACTTAACTCCCAGGATGACACCAATGTACTCACTCTGATGATGGCAGAACCCTGGACTGTAATTACTCTGAGCAAATTAATTACAATATAATGAATTTCTCTTCTTTTTCCTGATAGCCTGAATATGTTGCTAAATTTGTCGTTAGTCTTAATTCTTTTAGTGTTGCTTAGAGGGTTTGAAAAGTTGCTTAGAGGGGAGATAAAGTTGCCAAGTTGGCAACATTGTTCAGACTTTGGTATCCAATGAGCGTTGCAGGGGCACTCGATTAAGAAATCAGCGCAACGGGCAGGACTAACATTGTTGCTAAACTGTTGTCAAGTGGTGTGCTGTAACCAGTGAGGAGTAATAACAACAATGGTGACCACTAAGATAAATGCTGCTATCAAGGCTGCTCTAAATCACTGTCTTCTCAACATCACCTGACATTGTGGTTTATGTTTACTTCACTCCATTCGTCGCTTGGGACCCTGGCAAAATCAATATGTTGGCACAGCTAGGCATCACTGTCAGCTTAAATTGGCATTGGATTCAGGCGTATATGTTGGTCTCTAATGATTGGTTTGGGAAAATCGAATCCCCTCCACCACATAAATCAGTTACAGCTGACGCAATGTCAGACTAAAGATAGCGTAAAACTTCAATTAACAGCCTGGGCTATTATTTGCTTAAATCACTGAACTCGACAGGCCTATATTTGGGACAGGCCTTTAATTCCTGTCATACAAAACTGTTGCTCAGCAAAGATCAGGAAATGCAATCAAACTGTTTATATAATCCAGTATGAATATTACTTGTATAAAAATTAGGCTTCAAATAACATATTAACTATAATTCATTCATTTGATCTAACTCCGACAGCACACTTAATCCTGTTCAAACAATATTCTCTTGGATTGATTTTTATAAAAAACACACATTGGAAACTAAAGCAATATGAATAATATACCAGGAAAATCAAGACACCACCTTATTTGGCCTCTTGTTTACCATGCTGGTATAAGGAATTATGGTCGTCTTTGGTGCTCAGGATGATATCTGTATGCGTAATCGAAGCAGCTATCTAACATTAGCTCAAGTGGGTAGCCAACAACTGATTTTATACAACCAAGAATTCCTATAAAAATGAACCATTTGGCAACCAGACCAGGCCTCTATTTGAGACACGCCTTTATTTGTTGAAATGTGACGGCACGCTGGGGTAGTAACAATGGAGTGTAACAAATTGACAATATTGTCTGATATCAGGCAAGCAAGTGGTATGATATTTTCATCTAAATCTAGGCAAGAAAGTCTTTTCCCCAAATGTCAAACTGTTCCTTTAATCAATCACTCCATCAAGAGAAATGAATCGACAATGCCAAACATAGTTTCATCTTCTCAAAAGTGTGATTTTGTTGCTGTTTTTCTGTCTAATATCACTGTAAATTGATTAACTCTTGGTTTTGGGCTTTTGGTCAAGCAACCAATTTGAAGATGTCCCTCTGTGCTCTGGGAAATGTGATGGCCATTTTTCCAATTTTTACATTTTGTAGAATAAGCAATCAATTGATGATGATGTTGAGAAATGATTCTGTAATGACAGTAGTTTCAGCCCTATTGCATGTGTGAGTGTCAAGCTATATGTTCCCTGCTGTCCCTCTCCATTGCCCTCTATTGACCTTCGACTGTAGCTCTCCGTTTTCCTGTGTCCCATTCAGGAAGAAAAATTTTGCCTGTCAGATTTTAACAAAGCCAGAGTCCCCCTGAAAGGTCAAGCCTTCCTTGCTTAAATGTACAGAATAATGAACCGTGTCAGAAGTACCTTTCATCAGCTGACAATGGCGGGCACCTTTACAGACATGGGACAAAAGAGGATGGAAGAATCCATTACAATGTTATTCTTCTAACATCCTGTTGTACGAGTGTTGTCCTCCAACGGTCACCATGGAAAAGAGGCTGTAATTTACCACCTTTAAAAGCCCACACACTGAAGCCTGATAATGAGATGTACGGGGGTCTTAAAAGCTTCAAGAACAAGGTTTATTAAACAAATGATGTATCGGTGTGATGTGCTTTGCTTGACACTGAAATTAATGCTAACTATGTTGAGTTGAAGTTTTTTTTTCTCCTACAAAAAAGGCAAAATGTACAAACAGGTAACATCACTTTGCAACCAGTACATTGAAACATTACATTCCTATTTTAACACCATGCACTTTAAGATAATGAAAAACAATAAATGTGTGTGCATAATATGAAAGAGGTGATTGAATTTTAGTCTGAATGCCAAGCAGGCACTTGGCAAGGATTCAGTATTCAAGCAGCATTGATAGTATTTCAGCATTAGTTGCTCCCTCATGTACGCTCGCCTGAGGTCCTTAAGGTGGTCTGAGAATTGGTTTTGTGGGGCCGATGATGATTTCCAAAACACACTGCAATTTCAAAATCCATGGTAAGCACTGGTTTTTATTACCACGATTCCAAGTACAACACTGCAATACCTCGTGATCTTTTTATCATTCAACGTCTCTTTTTTTTCTTTTCCTCAGAGGAGTGTTCAAGTTTTACAGCATCTTAGAAAAATAATTGGTTCTGTATGTACAACAACAACAATGGTGCTAGAAACATGTTAACAGCCTTATGTACAGTAACATTTGTCGCCTGATCAACAAATGCAGTAAGAAGAACCTGTCATGTTTGCATGTGTGTGCTGATATACTGAGCGTTGATTTCACTGCAACTAAATGTTTGATCGAGCATCAATATGACGATGACATGATCATGGTATGACAATTATTTAATATCAATATGCACTTTTTTAAAATGAAAAATGATATGACATTCCTCTCTTTTAACTCCAAAATAAATAAAAACGTTCTAAAACCAGTGAACCAAATACAAAACAACTCTCTAAAGGCACACGTAACTATCCAGCTCCAAGTCACTGTGATTTCTCAACATATTGGCAGCAGGAATCTGAAATCTTTCAAAAAGTTTAGCACTGACGCTCTCAGATATCTGTCATAACACAGTGCAGTTAAAGTACCTCAGAATACAGTCTTCATCACTTAGATAAACCTTTACATTCGATTACTTTCCTGCAACCACTTCTTTCATTTCTCCAAAATACCTGTTGTAAATGAACGTCCACAGAGCTGCCTCATATTTTTTCAAACTGTAATTCCTGTTTCACTGATATGGAACATTATGTGAATGATCAGGGACGATGTTATAGCTGCACTCTTGTCCTGGACTCATTCATTTTTTTACGATGTTGGTTTGAAATCTCCAGTTTAATGTGTTTTTCCAAACATCTGAAGAAATCCACCTCAATAAGTAGAGCCTGACCAATAAATCGGCCAATACTAGCTCATCACAGACATGTTATTATCTGCCTTTATGTCAGCTGATAACAAGAAACTGCGGTACAGAAATGCCAAAGATATGTGTGAGGTATTTTACAAAGAGTGTGTCTACTACATTCTTTGGAGCACTGACTGGTAAATCTTATAAATGCTATATTTGTTTTTAATAACCAAATTTAAAGGTGCCATGTGTAATGCCTGGCCACATGCTCCAAACTAGGGGGGCAGCATTTCCTCTCCAAGCCAACTGGAAACTAAAAGCAGGGCAAGAAAATGCTAAATTCATACTGACTGCTGAAACTCCAAAAACACAGTCATATTTAAATCATATTTTGCCATTGGGAATGTTTTTTGGTACGGTTTGTGTTGTCATTAGTTGCACTCAGCTTTTCAAAAGTCTTTCCATTACAACAAAGGACTTTGGGTTCCGAACCTCGGTTACTCTGACTCTGTCCATATTATGGCTTTGAACAATGCCTGGACTGAGACAATGATTTAAGATCACGCACTTGAACGAATGATCAACCGTGAGTCTGCAAGCTATCTTCCATCCATCCATTTTCATTCACTTATCTTGGGCTTGGTCGTGGGGGCAGCAGGCCAAGCAAAGCACCCCAGACGCCCCTCTCCCGAGAAATGCTTTCCAGCTCCTTCTGGGGGACCCCGAGGCGTTCCCAGGCCAGATGAGATATGTAATCCCTCTAGCGTGTTCTGGGTCTGCTCCGGGGCCTCCTACAAGTGGGACGTGCCTGAAACACCTCCACCTCCAAGCTTCCTCTGGATGTCCGAGCTCCTTACCCTATCTCTAAGGCTGAGCCCAGGCACCTCACGGAGGGAACTCATTTCAGCCACTTCTATCCACAATCTCATTTTTCGGTCACAACCCAGAGCTCAGCAAGCTATCTTAGCCTAGCTATCTTAGCTTGGCTGTATACCGGCCTGAAGCGGCTGACCTAACCACACCACTATCATGGATTTCGGACCTGGGATTGTCAGAACTGGGACATTTTCTCAGTCGCGCCTGGATCATGAGAGCAAACCTTGACCAAACAGGGCTGCTGAGCCAGCTGGCCCCTGGCTGTGTTGACACAGGTGGCAACTATGAACTTGTATTTTCTGCAAACAATATTTGGATTGTGTCATGCTGGACTGAGGGCAGACTGGACGCTCCTGACTCAGTATCGCCTTTTTTTAGTGATATTTTTAAACAGTAAAATTTGGTCTGCACTTGCCAAAAGGCTCAATAGCTGGTGCACTGTCACAGTACATGGAGTTGATTGGATTATTTCACTGAGTCATCTGGAGTTGGTTTTGGTTCGGAACATTGTTGTACGAAAAATAATGATATAAGTGAGAATTACAATTGTGTAATTACTGAAAACGTCCATTATTAAAGACCATAAACAAAGCTTTCTATATGCAAACATTACTATATGCACCTGAGAGGACACCATCGTTTTGTTTCTAGCACCATCTGCTGTGACCCTCCAACAACGATCTATGCGGTAAGGAGTGTGTCAACACCCTCTTTGAATAGCCTTGGATGAGACAGGCTGGGGCCGGCTGGTTAGCATGCTCATTTCAGTAGATATCTCTGCAACACAGTACATTTTTTAAATGTTTCAAACTAAAATTCTGGCCATATCTGACACACTGTACTTTTAAGAATCCCGATAAAAAAAATAATGCAAGCAGGTTATTTTAAAGTCAGACTGAAATTTTTTTTTTTTTTTTTACATCTACCCTTTGTTTGTTTTGTCTTGTGTAATAATTTGGTATCTTAATTAAAAAAGGTACTCCCACATGTTAAAAATTGGAAGGGGACACATGGCTTAAATCAGGTTGATAGCCGACACTACGTGGGCTTGTTTAAAAAAGAAAAAAAAAAGCATTATATGGCTCCTCAATCAGCAGCGGACCACAGACACTGACAGCGTGACACTGGCCCTGTCAGTTACCAGCTGGCATTGGAGACACTGTTTCTACAAATATGTCTACACAGTGTGTGATCCTCTTTTTAAAAAATATACACAATAGCTGAAATATCATTAGATTGTAGTTTAGATGTTCTGGCACCAAAAGTGATGAGAATTCAAATTTCAGCTTGACTTGAAAATCAAATACCAGTGCTCACACAGTTTCAGATGTTTAACCCTCAAATATCAACTTCTTCAGCTTCACAGACCCAGCATTGGTTGGGCTCTATTAATGACATCACTTCCTGTTATTTTAATGTAACTCAGACACTGATATGGAAACAGGATGAGCAGCAGTCATGACAACAACAGTCTTGTTTTGTTAGATAGTACCTACAGTGGACATGAGTTCACTGCGTGTACACAGCACAGGGAAAGTCATTTACAGTATGGACCGTTGCAGACACGTGCCTTGCAGTATTCTTGTTATAGATGCTCTTCTGTTTAATTGTTTGTCCTGCAGTTAAGCGGCAGTCTGAGCAGCACAGTGGATGCATGGCTAGCAGCTGGCTGACACAGTGTGAGTGCTTTGATTTTAATGTTCTCCATGCTCAGACCTCACACATCGTTCTCCCTGCTCAGACACAACAAGGTCCCCAAAGCCACAGCTCATGGTGTCGCCTGAGCGGCAGGTGCAGCTCCTCTCAAACCTGTTGCGAGCTGTAAAAGGAGACGCCTCCATAATGGAAGATAAGCCGCTGCTGCCTGGATCTCTGTGTTTGCTGGCCAGGCTGTTACAGGAAGAGGCGTTATGATTTGCTGTGGTAAGAGCCACCTGGCGAGGGTGGGGAGAGCCAGGACTGGTTAGGATGAGGACCGAACAGTGGGGTGGGGAGGTGAGGCGAGGGATCAGATGCTCAGGGTCATGTTACGGAGCAGCCACTGCTGTGCACGGCTACCATTGCAGTCTCTCAGGGTTGGGACCATCTTGTCCTCCTCAGATGGCATGTCCAAACACTGGTTGCTGTTCACATGAAGCAGGGTGAGTCGCTGGAGAGAGAAAGACGACAGGCAGTTAGATATAAACATGCACACCTTTATGTATAAATACACACAATGCTTTATAATGTTTTGTCTGACTCAAGAGTTATTTCAACTCTTCTCTGGAGAAAGTTGAAACCACCTGGATGACTAAGATGAACTTTCACAGACACACTTCCGAATATTGATTTCCCACATTTCACAAAAATACCTTTTGACCCTACTAAATGGCCCGGGCTTGTAATACTCAGTAACTGTAGCTGGAGCAAGAAAAAACAATAGCACATCAAGAGAGCAGGATGTTCTAGTCGAGAAAAAGCCAGAGCCGTGTCCCTTATACAACACGACATGCACTGAGGCTGCTTGGAGAGTTGAAGCTCCTGTCGGTGGGGAGACTGTTGTCATGGCCACTTTACAGGAAGGATTTCATTGTGAATGACTGTTGAGCATCAGAAGCTTCAAAATGTCAAGAGACCAGAAAAAACTCATTTCTCCACTTCAGAACGACTGAAACCATCAGCAAATGTCCATATTTATGGCTGCATTGAGTATATTTTGCACATTTAGGATGTATCACAAGAGTTGCTGTAATGTAAAAGGGTTGCTGGTGGCACCAGTATCACTGATAACTCCTCAGTCTGCCTCTCCTTAATGTTTTTTTATGTTGCTTTTGGCTCAATGTTTTCTTTTGGAGTTGGCAGGCAGACATTGGACACAGAGGTGCAGTCAGGTGCCAGGAAACATAAATCTCCAGGTAGCTTAAAGAAATATGTCACAAAATCATTTGTAAATCAATTAGTCGTGCCTGTTACTTTGTATTTTTGAGGAAAACGTTGTTTTTCTTGCTTACCTCCACAAGAAATGGCAAATTTTTTGATTTACTGACAACAGCAAAACAATATCAAATCATCCATTTGCAAACAACTTTTATAATATAATCCATGTCTCGTTTATCCAGTCATATGCACATCCATTACTGCAAAAAAATACTAAGGTTATTATTAAGCAAAAATACATGTGTTTGGTAGGTACTGAACATACGACTGGATAAATGAGATCTATGCTGTGTCTCAAATCGCATACTTCTGTACTCATACTTACCATTTTGAGTACATGGGTGTGTTGATACAGAGAAGTAACGTTATGGCAAAATGCACCCTCAGTGGTCCCCATGTTGCCTATGTAGTGGAAGGGGCTGGACCGCAAACACATTTCAAACTGCTTCAATGTCTGCCGACTGCCACGGTGAAGACTAGAGCATGGTCCAAATATACATGTGTTTTTTCCTACCACTATACTGATGTCTGATAGAAGTAGTAATAATTTGGTACCAAAGGCGCTACCACAAATGTTATCGTTAGCTTACGAGCTAGCTTACAGTGGCACACTGTTAGGTTGTTTATTGGGTAAATTTGGTAATAATGTGGTATCATAAACACTACCGTAAATGTTAATGTTAGCTTACAAGCTAGCTCACAGCGACACACTGTTAGGTTGTTTGAGTTTATTTGGTTTATTGGGTTAAATTGGTAATGATTTGGTACCAAAAACGATACCACAAATGCTAACGTTAGCTTATGAGCTAGTTTACAGTGGCATATTTGTCATCAGGCATTGACGTTACATGTGTTGTGGTACAACTATACGGTCTAGGGGGGTAATGTTAGTTCCATTTGGTGTTCATGCATGTTAACTTTTTACTTTTTTGAAGTTTTGAAAATGCAACAGCTATCATTAAGTCAAATCAGCTGGTGATAAAGCCTTAAGGTAAGCCACAGAAGTTCACAACATGCTGTGAACGCACGCATTTATTTTGGCGAGTGACAACTGTTCGTCAAGAGATCTGAGTGTAGCTATAGTCTGAAGTCTCAAGATTTAGTTTTGTTGTCTGTTCCCAGTGCACAGACTGAGCTGGGAAAGAAAGCATTACGTGCTCTGCTCACTGTTGCCAACTCCTCAGTAAGAAAAGTAGCTATTGGCTGTCCTAAAAGTCGCTAGAAGTCGCTAAATGACGTCATCGCCTAATTTGCATAATTGTCCATATGAATGTAATTGTAATGGCTGCTGTAGGAGAGAGGAATAACGTCATGGGAGAGACAAAAACTGAGTAAAAAAACACCCTGAATATGTTTAGAACTACAAATGAACCTTCTTCCAGTGATTTATATTAGACAAAGAAAATTTTACATTTACATCCCGCCCTGACTGTAAACCAGGTCGGGATCAGCCAGTGGTGGGTCCATGCATGCGCGATTCACTTGCAGTCTGTGCGGAGGGGTTAACATCTCCTGCTCTGACTGCTGCTGGGAGGGAGGACTGGGCCGTCTGTAAGTGCTTTGGGGTGAGAGAAGGGCCCACGGCAGCATCCGCTGCTCATTGAGAAGAATAAGAATGATACGTGCTCTCACAACAGAGTCTCCAGAAGTCTTCAATAACATCAGAAAAAGTCGCTAGATTTGTCGCTAGTTGCTTTTTTGAAAAAGAGTCGCTAGAGGGGTCTGAAAAGTCACTAAATATAGCGACAAAGTCTCTAAGTTGGCAACACTGGCTCTGCTACCTGGTTAAATATGGGTTATATAAAAAAATAAATTAAAAAAGGTTGGTGATAATGCTCCATCCAGTTGCAATTCATGGGCAGAAGAAGAAAAGAAAAAGCTGTCAAATCGCATGACCACCATTTTCATCAAGTGAGCAGCAGCAGCCATGTTTGATTAGAGACTGTCAAAATTTGCCCACTGCACAAGTAAGTACATAGTGTACACAGTGTACTACATGCAAGTGTACTAACGTAACGTATCTGATTTGAGACACAGCACTGGAATACACTGCACGAGTTGTGTTAGAGTTTGTAAACGGATGTTGTTTTGCTGTTGTTAAAGCACAGCACTGTGAAACTCACTGACAGGGTGGTCAAAACCCCCCAGTGGAAGCCATGTTTGATACAAAATAGCTGATGTCCAACATAGCTAACTTATCAAAGATAATTATATTGACAGGATATACTGCTTGAAAAATTGGTATTTCTTTAACTTGTTGTTGGTGTTATTGAAACTAGCAAACAAACTAGTTGCCCATATCAACTGTCTTAGTTAAGCTACGCAGTCATCAGTCGGAGGTAACTGAATCCCAGCTATCGTTTTCGTTTCATATTCATATTTCAATCAGGTGAAGGAGGTGGACAAAAATCCTCAGCCAACCTTTCATTAGATTGACTGCTATCACTATGCATGCTAATATCCATGCTATCACTTTGACCTCTCCACTAGAATGGCAATCTGGTTACCATGGTAATGGATTTTGTCTGACTAATAACCACACCAGCTGGGATAGGCTCAAGCCGCCCTGTACCCCTGAACAGGACAAGTGCTTATGGATAATGAATAAATGAATGAATATTAACCACACCCCCATTCTGTGTTTAAGAAAGAACATAATTCAAAAAACAGGCAGGAGTGGAGCTGCTGCTTCTGACCTCAAACATCACTGTTATTTTTGGAGTTCACTCTTCAGTATACCTCGTCCTCTCAGATGTATCTCCTGCACCACTCCACACATTGTCCCCTCTCGCCCATCAGTCCTGTCTGTTTACTCTTCTATCACACAAACCAGAGAAGCCAGAGGACAGAACAAGCACTTTTAAAATGTCCAGACTGGGAAAAACACACCTGTTGTGACGAGCTGAGCTCGAGCACCACGTGAGCAAGTACCACAGAAATCTGTGGCTATCTGCCACAAAGGCTCCAGAGATAACACCCCCCACTAACAACTGGAAGAGAACTCTCAATGGCCTTGATTAACCATTTATGTTCATTCCCTCAGAAGTAACACGCTTCCGCAATTTCACTCCTCACTTGAGTTGCTTTTCTCGTCCTAATGATCACATGCAGAGAAGTAGGGGAGAAGCAGAGGAGCCGAAGTTGGTTTGTAAGGAAGGGAAACAATGGCGTGAGATAAATTGGGAAACTTATGTTAAAAATAAATCATTGAGTGCTACTGAGACACCATTAGGCTCTGTAATGTTTATAAATGGAGGGATTTAAAAGACAACATATATGACCACAAAATGAGTCTAAACTCTGCTATCATGGGAGTCATTTTCAAAGTGAACAGAACAGCACACATGATAGAATGTAAACATGTAAACATCTATAAACACAGTCTGTATGTGCCATTAAAACACGAGCATGGGCATGATTTATCTTGCAGTTAAGGCATAATTCATCATTAAAACAAGATTGTGCTTCGACTGTTGACAGAGGATATTCAGACTAATGAGCACACACAGACGCTCAGGCCATGTTTGATCTTTAGCTATAAAACACAAGGGCCTGACATTCTCTGCCTGGATACAAAGAGGTGCGCACACACACATGCACACACACATACATCTTTCCTGAAGTACACATTACCGGCCGCCCTACAGGGCACATTTGTTCAAACAGAACAAGAACAAAGAGAGCAGGTGGCGTTCGACCTTACACACCTGCCAAAAAACTAAAGAAGAGAACAATAGGTAGCTCCACACTGGAGACATTTTACTTTTCCTGCTTTGTTGAAATAAATTATTTTTTAACAGCAGCTAGGTTTAATGATATGTAAAGGAAATCAGAAATGTTCACTCATTATTTTGCAGAATTTGCAAATGACAAGCAGTGTAACCATTAAATACTTCTCTTAAAGGCGTATTCGTACATGGAACTTCTCCCAACTGGATGTAGCTCAAATCAATAAATCATATGAACCTGGCTTAGGCGATAATGAGAGTTGTATTTTTTCTTCTCATTGAAAGATCCAAACCTACTCTAGCAGCAGAGATGACAGAGGGGGAGCATAATGGTGGAGGGTAGAAAACCCGTTCCACATTTAATGAAAATACTAGAAATGTGGAGGTCTTGTCCTTTGCTCATAATTATTTCATGCCTCCTTTGGGGCAGAGAAAACTCCCATCTCAGCCTCCCAGCAAACCAACCAGCATCTCCGGAGCAAGTCGCTGAGTGTGTGCACAGCTG